AGTTCTATACAGTTCACTTAATTATTTTATTTACACCTATCTCCCTCAAACTAGAAGGAAAGCCATATCTCCAGCATCTCTAACAGGGAGAAAAAGAGAAAGGTATGGTCCCTGCCCTTGGGCCTGCTTGCTCTTGTGGGTAACAGCACATCTTGCTTTATTGTTCTTCAGGGCACTTTATCACCATGGGAAGCCACTTATTTACCCCACTGTCACTACCCATTAGAAACTAAGTGCCTGGAAAACAGGGCCTTTGTTTTGCTCCGTGTTGTATTTTGAGTACCTAGAGCGCACAGTAGGTGACACACAATACAACTCTGGTGCTGAGCACATAATAGGCATGCAATGAATATTTGTTGGATGAATGAAGAATATTTAAGAAATGAAGAAAAAATATCTAGGTACACCTGAGAAATTTGTAGCTTTTCTAAGAAATCTAATAATGAAAATGAATCTTGGAGAATGGCTGATTTCTGATGCAGCCAGGGTGGGAAGCTGGGGTAAAAGTGGGGAGCAGATTCCAGAGAAGATGGCACAGGGGTGAGGCAGGGAGCCAAGCATGGAGGCTGCTGTTCTCTGCCTCTGCCAGAGGCTTCCTACACGTCTCAAAGGCAGGGGCCATTTCCAATTTCTTCTGCATAATCTGTCTCCATTTTGTTCCTAGGACAAGGCTGGGCCATGAGCAGGCTTTTGTGAAATAACTTCAATTATCATTTAGATCTCTGCTTTTTTTTAAAAAAAAAAAAAAACAGCAATTTTCTTTTATAAAGTGTTCTCAAATATGCCAGGCAGAGCAGAGAATAAACCACAAGCTGAAGCTAGTACTAGATATTCCTTAGTCAATGCTAATTCCTAATAAAAAGAACACATATGGCCCCTCATTTGCAATGCAAAGCTCTCTTTCCATCTCCGTCTTCTAACATCCTTGGGAGGCAGACTCACATCATTTTTCCACTGAACAAATTGCAAGAGGAGAGCACAGATGACTAATACACAGGATACCAGGCCCTCTGATGAGAAAATTCTGTCTGGATCTACTAACTCCTTTCCAATCCTGCCCGTTGCCTGTTCCAAGCCTGCTGTGTACATCCTGCAACTCCTTCTTCTAATTGCAGCAAGGACCTGGAGGGAGGCACCTCCACCCACAGGACTTTTCCATTTTATAGATTGAGGCTTCCAGACCACTTTAGTGACCATAGAGGGTGCTCAGAATATCTGGGTTCTTTCCCACTCACCAATAGCACCTGCTGGATTCCCAATGGTTCCTGTAGCTTTTGCTCCCCCTCCCCCCGAATCCCCACTGAATTTAAAAAATATCTGTCACATTGCTTGTCATAGACAAATCCCGGTGGACTAATAAATGTCATTTCTGGGCAGGGTGGGGGCTGAGATTGACATGCTCTGCTGAAATGACCTGCACCCAATCCACAATTTGTCAGCTTCTTAATAGACTGATAAACAGTCACTAGAGAAATAGCTCATCCGGACAAATGTGACCTAACAAATGTAACCTAATTCACTCCTATTTTTTCCCCCCACCAAAAAAAAAAAAACCAAAAAACCTCTCACAACTATTTACCTAGTGAGGAGCCCCACATACACAACTAGACCCTAGACTGAAGAGTGAGCCTGTCCTCATTGTAGCTGCCCAAGAGGTGAGACCCTCCAGCTCTGTGAAAAGGGCACTGAGCCCTCATCACCTGGTGGGTATAGTTTCATAAGAAGTGAAAGCTGCTCACAGCTGGGGCATCTTCTGAAGATCAAAAAGTGATGCAGCTGCTGACCTGCCCAGCCCAGAGCAGGGTCACTCTGGCACTGAAAAGGCATTTGAGAACAAAGGGGATTCTGTGCACTTGGCCAGCCCACAGGTGAGTGGAAAGGGCAGTCAGGTGTTGCGAGGGAGTGGGCCAAAAATCTGGTTTCCATTATGCAGGTCTGTTTTAGTCAGCTTTTTTTTTTTTTTTTTTTTGCTGCTGTGACTAAAAGACCCAAATGGAACAACTTTAGAGGAGGAGAAGTTTATATGAGGGCTTACAGTTTCAGAGTTCTCAAGCCATTGACAGCCGGCTCCATTCCTTAGGTCTCCAGTAAGGCCGAACAACATGGCGGGAGAATGTGGCAGAGGGAAGCAGCTCACATGATTATCAGGAAGCAGAGAGACTCCATTTGCTAGATACAAATACATACCCCAAAGCCACATCCCCAATGCCCCACCTCCTCCAGTCACACCATACCTGCCTTCAATTACCACCCAATTAATCCCATCAGGTGATATATTCACTGATTGGCTTAAGGCTCTTCCAACCCAGACATTTTCCCTCTGAACCCTCTCATATTGTCTCACACATGAGCTTTTGGTGGGCACCTCACATCCAAACCATAACAAGTTCCCAGAGAGAGCTGGGCGTGGCCCTGTGAGGAAATTTCTCTCCTGTAAAGTTAAGATAGTCTTGCTTGTAGACTTTTACAGTAGGTCCTGGGCACCTGTTTTCTTTCCTGCCTTCTACTCCTCTCATTCTTGCTCCTTTTGCTTCTCCCACTGTTAGGGAACTGCCACACTTCAATACATGATCCTTTGAGATGCCTGTGGAGCAACCTGCTACCTTCGGCCCTGAGGAAGAACCTCCTGTTTCCTGGCCCTCCTGCTTTAGATCCTGAGATTGAGGCTGTCCAATGCCTTGTAGGCCCTGGGCCCAACTAGGGTCCAAACAGGAGGAAGTTAAGAGGCACAGTGCTGGTAGCTCACCCCAAGTCAAGCCTTGGGGCTATTCCCCTCTGACTTCAGTCCCCCAACTCTCAGACTGGGCTCCTAGCTGTGTGGCCTTCAGCAAATGACTTGCTCAGAACTCAGTTTTCTTTCCTGTAATTTGAGAATAGCACATAAGTTGCAAGAGAATTAAGATGCTCAAAGGGGAACACACAAAGAAGAATCAATCTAGTACAGAGCTTAGAATCCAGAACATTTTCAACAGCATGTACCAAGACCCCTGTGCTCCCTTCTGACCAGGACTAAGAGCACTTCAAGCCAGTGAGCTAGAGGAAGGCTGTTCAGTTCTGTGCTAGGGGAGACTTCCAACTGTCCCGTGATAACTGCTTCCCTATTTTTTTTTTTTTTTTTTTTGGTGGTACTGAGGATTGAACCCAGGACTTCATGCATACTAGGCAAGCACTCTACCACTGAGCTATATCCCTAGCACTGCTTCACTTTTTCTTGGTGAAATTTAGAACCTCTAAATTTTAAACTGTGCATGACTGACCAAAATGAAACTACATTTTCTGGCCTCCTTTGCAGATGGGTGTTACCACCTACCTAGGATTTGGCCAGTGAGGTGGAGGGGGAAGTGCAGCCTATGACTGCCAGGAGGGTGAATGCTCATCCTCCTCCCTGCCACCTTCCTACAGGCTGGAATAAGACATGGTGGCTGGAGCCCAAGTGGCCACTTCAACTATGAAGTAGAAGCAAGTAGTAGGGGTGCAGAATAAGAAGACACCTGAGTCCGGAACTCTGGAAGACTCGGCTAATAAGGAATCCTCTTTGTGGACTTCATCTATATGGGAGGGAAATTATTTGACACCTTTTTTGAGTCAATGTTTCCTTTGAGTTTTTCTATCCCTTCCAGACAATCCTAATCCTGATTAATTATTCTGTTTGAAAGGTTCCTCCCTGGATATCAGAAGTTCACTGCAGGCCTTCAGGAAGCTTCCAGAGACCTGCAGCAGAAGACACCATCCCTACAGCATCTCTGAAGCCAGAAATAGAGGTTTCCCAGGGCTGCTGACCACCTTGATTCTGAGGGTCAGTTCACTCCAGAGGAGAGGGAAGGGTACCAGGTTCACTAAGAAACAACCACAGCAGTTGCTCTGACATGCAAGATCACACATATTGGCTCCTTTCACAGGAGTCAATGAAGAGCAGAATAAACTTGATAAAACATTCAGGAATTGCATCAGTCTTGTTAACTTGACATGTGCTGTGGTTCTTATCTGCCTGGTGATAGTCTTAGAAAGCAACTTTCTATTTTGTATTCACATCAGGGCGTGATTCTGGATTGTCACCAAATCAAGTAGAGGAGTTAGAGAAGAGCTTGAGTAGGATCATTCAAAGTGAGGCTCATAGATTAGCTGTCTGCCCTCACACTGTTTGTCATGAGTCTGCAATGAGATGACAGGCTTGTGCCAGAATGAAGATCAACAGCATCAAGAGAACAATGATTCCTTCAGCTGATATTTTTTTCTTTCATAGCAAGACTTTTTTTCTTTCATAGCAATGGAGTGGTACACATTCCAGGCACAAGCTCTGTGTCTGGTTTCAGAGCACTTTGACTACCACTGCTCTAGAATATGGTGGCCCTATTATGGAACATTTAAAACACACACACACACACACACACACACACACACAATCTTACCTCAAGTGCAATAAATTAGAATCTCTGAGAATGGGGTTCATGTATTCGCATTATAACAAAGTACCACAGTCCACTCTGAGGAGTACTCCTGGAGGGGACCTGTGTTTTGGTGCCACGGGAGGATGCAGAATTGTCTTTCAGAACCCACAAAGGGTAAACTTCTGCATGCACCCATGTTAAACTTCAGCTGGCCCTGCTGGGCACAACAAACTTTTGACAGTCTTCCTGAGTTCTTTATCACCTACTGATTTGATAGGGGTTGATAAAATTTAAACCTGGAGACATTTGATAATATTCTTTCTACAAGCCTTCGTTTAGATTGTAATTTTTCCTAACGCTTTCAGTCCTGACTGAATTTATTCTCTCATGAAACACAAGCCCAGCTTCTTCAAAGTCAATACAAAAGAGGGAAGGGAACTTCCGTGTCCCCCCAACCCCTGTGACAGAGCCCTGGCACTATCACTGCTGTCATCAGATGCCGCTGGTTGCATGAGAGGTTTGGTGCCCACAGAAGCAGGCCAATGTTCTCACAATGGTGAGGTCTCCTGCGTGCGACTCCTAGGGAAGCAACCTGCACCCACTGTCCCTTACCGGCAGTTCCCAGGCTCAGCAGCACAGCCACCCAAAGGATCCAAAAGAAAATGAGGATGGCAAATGTCCATAGTGGCTGGAACAGCAGGAAAGGAGAGCTTCTGATGACTTTATTTGTGACTTGGAAAAGCTCCACTGTCAATTTTATTCTCTTTCTGAGGACAAAAATCAAGACGAGCAGAATTGCCTGGTGAGAAAGGGTTCAGAGTAAATTATTTCAAAATAATGGGGGAACTGGGTACAGCTTAAAGCAAGCCCTATTATTTTACTGACATTTCAGCAAATAGCTCTTTTAAGATAGTAATACATGACTTTTGTTATAACTGAACAGGTCAATTCCCAGGCATGAATTGAACACCTACTATGTACTGGTCCCTGTGCTAGATCCTGTAGCTAGAACAGTGAACGCTGCTTAGTCCCTTCCCAAAGGAGCTTTCAGTATGGTCACAAAGCAAAGGCAAATGAGAATTAAGTCCTCTAGAGTCAGGAACCATCTTCTCTTCCTCCACCCAGAACCCAAGATGCTCAAAGAAGACAGCAAAGGGCAAGAGAACATGAGTGTGAAGGAAAAGGACAGTGAGTGTGTCCCAAGGTAGCCTCTGTGCCTTCTCTATTGCTTTTTTCTGCCCTGTATATAAGTATCTAAGAGTCTCTCATGTAAGATGTAATCATCGTCCAACCCACATTGATCCAGCCACTGTCTTCTGTCTCCTTCTCCTCACAGCCGAGTTTCTTAGCTTGTCTACACTGGCATCTACACTCATCTCCAATTGCCTGCAAACCCCTAGACCCCCACACTCTTCTGAAACTTCTCCTCCTAAGGTCACTTCATGTGAAGTCTGCTAGATCCCATAGAATATTCTACATTCCAAGTCTTTTTTTTTTTTTTCCTTGCGGTGTTGGGGAATGAACACAGGACTTTGTGCATGCCAGGCAACTATTCTACCACTGAGCCACACCCCCCAGCCCCTCCAAGTCTTGCTTGGCCACAGCATAGCATTTGAATCTACTGTTCACTCCCTTTTCTGGTCCCTTCCACAATCTCTCTGGCTCCTCTACTATTTCAGTTATTGCTTCTTAGGATCATTGTGGGGAAGGAATCTTCTGCTCCTTTGTGGTTTTAGCATCCTTCCCAGATGTTGATGACCTTCAAATAAAAATCCCAGCCTCACCTTTCTCTAAGCACTGGACGAAGAAGCATATTAGATATTAAAAAGGCCATACACATCCTAAATGTCTCAAACTCACCCTGTCCTGAACCAAATTCAATATCTTTATACCAAAATCTCTTCTTCCTTGTATTCCCTACCTCTAGTGGTCCTAATTTTTCTGGACTCCAAGATTCCTTTCTTGCATTCTGTCCTATGGTTTCCTAACCATAGTATTTGGCATTTTCCACTGCATATGTTTATATCTGAATCTCCCCTTAGATTGATTTCCTTGAGGCTAGCACACAGCATAATCCCTGTCACCTCTGATTCAGTTTCTTAAATATCTCTTAAGTCATCCTCTCCTCTCCAACACCACTGATGATGTCCCAGGTCCAGTCTCATCATATCTTATCTGGCCCCCAATAGCCTCCTCATTAGTTGTCTGCATTTAATTTTCCTGATATGCCCCCACCTCAATCCTTCCTCCACCTCACAGCTAAGGGACCTTTCTAAAGGGTAAAGCCTAGGGTGTCATCTCCTTGCTAAAAATCCATCAATGGTTCTCCAGAACATCTGGATAAAGATCAGACTCATTATTATCACAGATCCGGATCTTATAGAAATGAGCCCTCCCTGTACCTGCCTCAGACTTTCATGGAGGGCACATATCCATGTGACCCTGTGTACTCTGTTTCTTGCCTGAGCTGCCCTTTTTCTTCCAACTGGACTGGAGTATTTCTGCCCTCAAAGATCTCTCACAAAGTGGAGGAAAGACTTCAGAGGAAAGTAGGATAAATTGTGCAGAAGCTACTCCAGGATCTGCGAGCACACCCCTACTGTGGGGGGTTCTTGAGAAGCCAAGCCCAGAAGAGACCTTTAAACTGCAAAGGGCTCTCAGTGCCTAACACAATCAACAAGGAAGGGACTGTTTCACTTTAACTGTTCAGGAAGCAAAACAATATAATCTTTAGGCAAATAAATTTGGCTCTGGCTCCTAAGAGGAACCTTAATCTAGGTGAGTATTTAAATGTGTGTGTGTGTGTTACAACTTGTATTAGAAATATCCAGTTGATGCCCTGCTCACACTTAGAGTGCACTGTGAGCATGTCCATCACAAGGAAAGGGTTGACTCTAATTTGTTCCTTTCCCCAATCTGGATGGAGATCAGTGTCACCACCCAGTGCTGCGGGTGTGGACCGAGTGGGTGGGCAGAGCTCACCACACAGGCTTCACTTCTAAGTGGCAGGGAGCTGCATTCTGCTAATCATCCTAGAGTATTGGCTGAAGTGGGCATATAATGCCACTCACCCCATTTTCCTCATTGTTTCGAGTGGTTATATTGAAACTCCTTAAGTGATATTCACAGTTGACCCCCATCTTCCCAGAACATGTGCTCAAGTTTATTTGTAAGGCTCCTGCTAAGAACTCCAGGAGACAGGAACACATCCTTGCCTAGGAGGTCCTCTGTGGTCCCTGGGGACCATACCTCTCAACAGCATTCCCATTTGATGCATGAGGAGACCAGGGCCTCAGAGACCAAGTCATTTTTCCCAGGTCTCAGTGGTGGGCCCTGGATTTGGGCACAGGCCTGGGACCAGTGAGACTGGGCTCTTTTCCTATGCACTGTGCCATGGCACTGCCTGCTGTGCACTTCACCTGGTCACAGGCTGTGCTGGCTTGTTTCAGGGCCTCTCTAGCTCCACTGTTTAGTGCTGAGCCCTGTGTCTGTTAGAAGTTGCGTGTAACTGATGACAGAGACAAAGGATCTGGGCTCCTGTGAGGGTAAGAGTAGAGCCAGCCGGGCCAGCACAGGAGAGAAACCCAAGCCAAATGAGGGCACATGAGCCAAGGCTGGATTCTGCCCTCTGTACAGCCACCTGTGACACTCAGGGACAGGTGACACAGACTCACCTTTCCCTCACCTCATACTAGGTGAAGAGGAGAAGTCACCCCTGACCCTGAGATCTGGTGGCCATGAATAGTGCAGTGTGTGAGGACAAAGGGGACCCTGTGGAGGGCTGGGGAGGACCTGGCTCTCTCCCCAGCTCTGGGTCCTGCTCCTCCTCCCCTGAGCCCCAAAGCCCCAGGCCTGGCTGCTGGGGAGCCTTTTCCTCTACAGCCTCCTTCACAGTCCCTGTTTAGCAGCGAGCCTGGCCCTTGACTGAGGAAGAAGTTGGGTGCTTTATTTGATGTCACTTGCTCCCTGACACATCTTATGTAAAGAACACAAACCTGAAAACTCACTGTGGAAAGGAGAAAATGTGAAGCCTGTACCCAATATGAGACCTGAAGGATTTCCTCAGAAGAGAGAATGGAGCTGGTGAGAGAATCTGCATTTGCAGAAAGGTTTAATGGGCTGTGGAAGGCCCTGGCTGCCTCTCTCCTGCACATCGGTGAGTGAGCAACAGCTAGCACTTGACCTGGGGTTACCAGAGGTTCAACACCAACCCGCCCCTGCCCAGAGCCTGGTGATTTTAGCACCTCTATGCCACCTGAGGAGTGACTGAAATGATTTTTGGTTGCCAGTCACCCTCCTCCAACAACCACTAACCCCTGCCTCAATATTCCCAGTTCTCCTGTTTTTAACTAGGGAGTTCACTGAGGAGGCAGCAGGTTGTCTGCCAACCAAAATAACTCAGTGGCTGGCAGGTGTGGAGACAAAGGGCCCTGTGTGCTCAGGGCAGCGGAGCTGGCACACCCTGGGAGAGCTCAGTACCCACTGGCTCACAAACAGGAAATGAGAGCTGTCATAAACTGCTCCCTCCTCCCCGCAGGTCCACCGTTGGAGCCCCTTGGGTAGGAATGGCCTAACAGCAAGGATACAGAATCAGCCTCTGGAGGACAACAGAAATGACTTGGAAAGAATTTATTTTTTTGAAGGTTTTGATTTATTCCTACATAGGTATCTGAAATCCAAAGAAGGTACCCCATCATGTAGGTACATTCTGAGGTGAAAGAAAAACAAATGCTAGTTGTTTTTGACTAAAATTCAATGATCTGGGTTTCAGAGCTCTGGCTGGTGACTCAACCCACTGCTGAAAGGGTTTTTTTTTTTTTTTCTTTTTTTTTTTTTTTTGAGGGGATGAGGGGTGAGTATCGGGATTCACCCCAGTGGTGCTTAACCACTGAGCCATATCCCAGCTCTTTCTATTTTTTATTTTGAGACAGGGTCTCATTGAGTTGCTTAGGCCTTGCTAAGTTGCTGAGGCTGGCTTTGAACTTGTGATCCTCCTGCCTCACAAATCGCTGGATGACAGGTGTGCACCACCACACCCAGTTGGAGGGGGTTTCTTACCGTGATGACTGTAGACACAATAGCAAACCCCAGCACACACTTCATATTTTCCCTTTCTGTGTCCAATTCTATGCTGAGGTCGTTGGTATAGTCATAATACAGCCACCATAAGATACCGCAGACAACTAGAAAACAACACCAGCAGGGCTCAGCACACACGCCCTGGGGTAACGTCCTCCCACTGTAAGCCCATTGGGTGGCCCTGCTTAGGAGGTGGGTCCCAAGTTCCTGGGGCATTTATAGCCAGCATCTACCCTCTGGAGGAGCTGGGCAGAGCCAGGGTAGCCCACAGAGTACCCCCCAGCCCATAAGAGCCTTTGGTTTTGGGAGACCCAGGAGGTGGCCCCAGAATACAGGTGCCTAGCCCACAAGTTGGTCTAGTGTGAACAGGAAAGTAGCTACATCAACAGGATAGTGAGGGGAACTCTGCTAGTGTCCAAAGACTAAAATGATCAGGCAAACTCTGCTGGAGATCTCTGCTACAGGAGCCTGGACACTGGCTTCTGACCCACCAAATCCAGGCAACTTACACAGGCTGTGGGACTCACGTATATCAGAGGCTTACTCTGAGGATACCTTGACATTGCAAATACTTTGCATTTAGCTATAAAACACTACTATAAGCCACCTCCACAGGAACTCTACAGAGGTCACAGCCATCCATTAACTATAGGTGAGGAAAGCACCCCTCACAAGTCAGTGCTGCCATCCAGCACAGGGCTCTGGGGTGCTCCCATGCTAAGCGCAGAGCTGATAGTTCAGAGGAATGAAACACTACCGTCTCTCATTAAAAATAAAAGACACTGATACCCTTTTCCCAATGATCCTAGGAAGACCCACAATCCAGCAACTGATGATGGGCCCACAGGGGCCTTCAGAACCCTATGCCTACTCAGGCCTGCTCTCCAGGTTGCAGAGCCTTTGCCCGACAACTGTGGTCACCAACATGCCAATGAGTGAGGTGCAGGTTCAGAAAAGATCCTCCAAAATGCTTGTGATGGCACTGGAACTCTCTCTTAGTATTATGGGTACCAGGCTCATCTCAGGCCCGCAAAATATACTAGAAGCGACAACAGACTTGGCGTTAACTTTGCCATGATCTGTGACATGAGCAACTCCTGTCAATCTCCCTGGGTTTGATTTTTCTTACATGCAAACCGATGGGGCTGGATGAGACACTCTCTGAGACTCCATTTAGCTCACAAATACCAACTTTAAAGTTCTGTACTTAATGGAAAGGCTTTTCATTTAATCAAAAAGAAATCCATCAAGAAGACATACTTACACAGCAATCCAAGAATAACCAATGAAATGAAAATGTGAACCAGAAGAGTGGTGATGAATCGGAAGGTGAACATCATGGTCAAGGACAAGGCTGAAAAATTAAGTAAAACACATAAACCCAAACAGCAGCAAAGGGCGAGGGTGATGGTGGCAGAAGCAGGAAAAGTGAGGGCCCAGGTTTTACTCCGTCTCCAAATGTCTTGGGACACCTGCTAAATGCTAAAGGAAAATACAGGATACAACCAGGGCACCCTCTGAAGCATGTGGGGTTTAGTAGGCTGTAACAAAGCCAGTCTTCCTGAGTTAAAATTAAAAAGAAGGTATTTTATTCCCAAAAGTTCAAGTTACCTTACAAGTCTAACTGAACTGTTTAAAAATTTTACTATACTAAGTTTCATACTGAGTTGTGTAAAGTTCTGACTTTAAATGTCCTTAGGTACTTTTATTAAACCTAAAAGAATAATGCCTTTAAAATAAAAAATTTGAGTCTAAGTATATAAAGTAAGCTGTATAAAGCATTGCATTTCACTTTCCAATATTTGAGCTTGTATGCTTATGAATTTTTCTAAATATTTCAGTGAATCTATAAATGCTATTTTATTTATTTTTTTTACTAAACAGAAAAATCAGGATTGCATAAAGATATTTCAGTGTGGTGGCTGAGAACATGGAGTTTGGAATTAGACATACCTGGGTTTGAGTCTCAGCTCTGTCATCCATTCTACTAGCTGCCACCCATTCTACTACTGGCCAAGGCACTTAAACTCTCTAAGCCTCAGGTTCCTCTACTCTGAGCTGAATGGGGTTATCACATTAAAGCCTTAATGTGATAATAAGCACAGTGCCTGGTACCTGAGAACTGCTTGGGAAATAACAGCTGTTAATGCCATTATGAATCTAACAAGTACAGCCCTTGTGGGGACATTAGGTTGAGGTATATGATATCAGGACTAGCCTGGATTTTTTTTTTTTTTTTTGTATCTGTGGTTACCACGTCAGTGTCTGGGAGTCAGAAAATACTATTTGGGTCATTTGAAGTCATTCTCAGTCTAAGTAAAAAGTTTGGACCCTATATATGGTGATTACTTAAGTTTCCCCAAGCACTGGGGAATTAGTAACCTTTTGGTAATGAAATTAAGGAAAACTCAATTTGTGGAACTGGCCAAAATATGTTAATGGATGACCAACTGGGAAGGGACTAGATAATAGGTTATTGCTATGGTCTAAAGTTGCAGGGGGCGTTAACCTGTTCAAAGAGACAGTTGGCTCCAGGGACTCAGCAAGTGGAAAGAGAGAAAGTGGGAAGTCAAGGATCAAGAGTGGGTCACTGCTTCCAGAAATGCCCAGGAGAGGCATGTCTTGGCCCAAGGACTTCTTCTGAGTACAACCCAAAGTAGGTATGTTCCTTTGAAGAGCTGGATTCACGGGCACTGCAGTCTGACCCTCTTAATGTGGATGCACACTCCTCCCGGGCTCACCAGACAGCCCGCTGATCTGGCTCACCTACAGGTAGAAGGCACGTTGGCCAGAAGATGTGTTTTCTTATCCCCTGATGGTTGTACTTTTCAGAGCCAAAGTACAAACTTACTCTCTGCTTTATGCATCCATCCCTCATGCAGAGCTGAGAACAAAAAACCCCCGGAAACTGGTGAATATAATCCAGTGAGGCTTCCTGGCAGATAGCCAGCTGACCTCTTCCATTCCCACTGTCCCTTTCCCAAATTTAACCTGAAATGTTGAAAATATCTTCAAAGAAAATAAACATAAAGTTTTATATTTAAGTTAAGAAGTTAATTTCAAGGCACTACATATTTAAGCAGTAGAAATTTTGGCATTCCACAAATAGTTGCTAAAATAAAATTAAAATTACCTAATGCGAAGATACACAGGCCAAGGATTGTATCTCTTGCTGACATTATTCCACTTAGAATTCGATGGAGGGTGTCAACATCATTTATCAAAACAGATGCAAACAGGGAATAGCACTCAGGTGTTTGAGGCACGCACCGGTTAAACAATGGGAAAGACTTGCTAAAAGTAAAAGAAGTGATAGAAAAAATATTTATTTCATTATTCATCTTTAAAAAGATGTTCATTTAAAATTCTGCACAACCAAGAAAGGCTAAGATCTGTAGTATTAAAAGGGTGTTTAGATATCTGTACACCTTAGGAAGCCAGGCAGCAGGTGATGGGGACCCACAGAAGCCTGAAACCTGAACTTGGGGAACAACATTTTTGTTTTGTTTCTGGTGCTGGGCATCAAACCCAGGGCCTTGTGCATACAAAGCAGGTGCTCCTGCTGAGCAACACTCCCAGCCAGAACAATACTTTAAAAATGAAAACAGTATATATTTAAGGTGTACAATGTGATGATTTGATATATACATTGTGAAATTATTACCACAAACTAATTGACATATCCATCACCTCATAGTTACAGTTTCTTTTTTTATGATGAAACATGTAAGATCTATTCTTAACTCTAGTTTACAATACAGTATTATTAACTATAGTTTCCATGCTATACACTATATCTTTAGAAAGTTGGTCTGTGGTATGCTCCTAATAAGTGAAACATACCCCAGACCAAAATCTTCCCTTCCTCTGTCCTGGTAATCAATCACCATTCTACTCTTTGCCATTCTATTCTTTGTTGTAATAAACTTGATTTTTTTTTTAGACTTTCTTTATAAGTGAGATCATGTAGTATTTGTCCTGTTTCTGGCTTATTTTACTTAATATAACGTTCTCCAAGTTCACTATACTGCAAATAGCAGGATTTTCTCCTCCTCCTTCTTTTTCTTCTTTTTTGTTTTTTTAAGATTGAATAATATCCTGTTGTATATGTACATACCACATTTTATTTATGGGGAACATCATTTTCGACTCTGATGTCTTAGTCCTTTCTGGACTAACTACCAACTCTAACATGAGAATCAGATTTCTTTAAGGCCCTGGTAGGTATATGCATTGGACCAACCTGAAGCTGTGTTAATGACAGTACCAGCTTCATTATATCCTCCCAGGAAGCACTCTCAGAGTGAGTGCTTAAAAAATGAGTAATAACATATGAGTGACACCTTGGGTAAATGAGAAAGCAACTTTTTTTTTTTTTTGGTGGTGCTGGGGATTGAACCCAGGGCCTTGTCCATACAAGGCAAGCACTCTATCAACCAAGCTATATCCCCAACCCAAGAAAGCTAATCTTTTAGAATTCTTTCTTGAGATGTGAAAATAGCCTGGGAACATATATTCTGCAGATTTTAAAGAATTCTAAAGAATCTTAATGAGGCCATGAATACCTTCATAGGCTCCTGGCTTGCTTTCTTTCCATGGTTCCCAAACAATGGAAATAATACCAACCCAAGAAATACCAAATTATCTAACAAGTTGCTAAAAAAACTAAGGAGTCACTAATTGTTTTGTGAAATGTATGAAGATGAAACAAAGGACTACCCAAATGCAAGCTTCTCCATGCAACGAAGAAGGCAAGGCTTCTGGAACTTCAATGAACAAAACGTGGAATGAGCTTCTTTAGGAGGTGACTATATTATAGCAATAGTCCCTGAGTCACCAAATGGTGATTTAAGAGAGAAGCAACACTGTAGAAAAATTTAATTTAAGTCTTGAAAGGGGTAAAACAGCCACCTGGCTCAAATTCCAAAAAATACACTAGACTAAAGCTTTAGAAATCACCCATCCTCATTCCTGAGTCATTGAGTCTGTTTCCTCACAGGAACCCTTGGTTTTGGTTTCTCGCCTATCAGTCTAAAGACATTTTTTTTTTTAGCATATGCAAATGTAACAGGAAATTTAAACAGAAGTTTGTAGCTGAGCTCAAAAATAACAAAAATTATACTCGAAAAACAAAAAGTGAGATGCTGCCGTGCTGAGCTTGCCAAAAGAGGGCGTGGGTGGGGAAGGGGTAATGGGTTAGATTTTTCTTAACTCCCACACCCACACCAACAACAGAAAAAAGGCTGGGGGTTGGTTAGAAGAGCATTTTGAAAAAATAAACTTTTAATACTGAAATAATTTTAGAGTTACAGAAAAAGTATAAAGATGGAAAGAGAGTTCCTATGTGCCCCTCACGGGCTTCTCCCTAATGTTAGCATCTTACACAAAACAGTGCTCTTGAGAGGATGAAGACTTAACATTGACACTATGCTATTAACTAAACCACAACCTTTATTTGGACTTCATCATGTTCTACAATATCTGTTTTCTGTTCTGGGGTCCAATCAGGATCCCACAGTGCATTTAGTTGTTATATCTCTTCTTTAGTCTGTGATAATCTCTTGGTCTGTCCTTGTTTCTCATGACCTTGACATTTCTGAAGATTTATGGTCAGGAATTTTGTAAGATGTCCTTCCATTTGTAGGAATTCTGTCATGTCTTCTCATGCAGTTAGACCACAGTTATGGGTTTTTGGAAAAGATCGGAGAAAGGCATGGTTAGGGAACATGATTATCATCACTATTGAACTTGGTGGCTTGATTAAGGTGGGATAGCCATGTCTCTCCCCTGTGGAGTTGCCATTTTTCTCTTTCCATACTCTATTCTTTGGAAGTAAGTTGCTAAGACCTGCCCACTCTTAAGGGGAGGGAAATTAAGCTCTATCTCCTGGAGGGAGAAGTATTTATCTTATGGGGATTCTTCTGTAAAGATTTAGCCTCTTTACTCCATTTACTTACTTATTTAATTATTCATTTTTATCAGCATAGGCTCCTGGGTATTTAGTCTATTGTTTTTGTTAAAATCTAATATGATCATTAATTAGTCACTAGCAGGTATTTAAGGTGGACCCCTGTGTCCTTCTGATATGCCTGGTCCTTTTTATATTTTTTCCTTGAGCACTTCTTTACTTTCTGGCTATGACACCAGGCTTAGCTAGTATTTTCCTCATCTAAGCTGTAGAATCCTTCATTTCTCCACAGATCCTTTAGAGAACAGCAATTAGAAACAAAAACCTGAGTATTGGACATGCTTATTGCTACTCAGGTATCTCTATTCTAGGTCCCCTTATAATCACCCCCCCCATGGCACATTCAGAATTGCTAGTCAGGTTAGGCGTGTTGGCCCATGCCTCTAATCCCTGCTACTTGGAAGACTAAAGCAAGAGTATCTCAAGTTCAAGACCAGCTTTAGAAACTGTCTCAAAACAAAATTTTATTATATTTTACTTTTTGGCAGTGGGTATTGTGCCCAGGGATGCTTTACCATTGAGTTACATTACCAGTACCCCACCCCACGGCCTTTTTTTTTTTTTTTGACACAGCTTCTCACTAAGTTGCAGAGAACCTTGCTAAGCTTCTGAGGCTGGTCTCAAACTTTCAATCCTCCTGCCTCAGCCTCCTGAGTCACTGGGATTACAAGTGTGGGCCACTGAGCCCAGCAAAATAAAAAGTTAAGAGAGAATTGGGGATATAACTCTGAAGTAGACGACATCTGGGTTCAATCCCCACTATCAAATAAATAAGTCCATAAATAAATAATTTTTAAAAGTTTTTAAAAAGAATTGCTAGTTGGTACTGCTGTGATAAATTCACTCAATCAAGCAGTGTTTATATATGGCTCTTTTTGTCTCTAGCTTATAGCATACAGTCACAAAGCTGTTTTCCAAAATCACTTAGGACAACTTCTTCACCTCCTTCAGTGAGACTGTGAAATATTTGTAATAGAGTTAGATTCCTAATTGTCTATGTTCTATCCTGAGAGCTCCTGACACCTTGGCTGATTTTATTTTTTATTGGTATACAGTGAAATTCACTACTATTCGGGTGCTGACAAGTGCAGAGAGTCATTAGAACAGCAATTCTGAAGGTTTCTTTCTTTCTTTTTTTTTTTCTGGAGAATGTTCATGTGCCCCCTCCCTGTCCCCAAGGGAAAGAGAGTCATGGGCACCTCTCCTAAGTCAGAAGACAAGGGCTTCATGGGAAACTCATTGAGCTTAGGGAAGCCCAAAAGTTAAGATCTGAACCACCCTGGGAAATGTGGAGGGAGAGTGGCTTTGGCAACAGAGTGAAGGGCCATGACATTTGTCAGGGCCAAGGATGCCCTCCTTGGGGCACTGGCTCAACAATCTATGAAAGTGCTCATCTCCCTAGACCCTGGCCCAAAACAGCATTATCAAACCTTTAGAGGCTGACCATCTGATAGGTGAAGACAGTGGAGACTTAGATGCCATGTCCTCTATCACAAGGAGGTCCAGCCTCTTTTATGTTTAAGAAACATTTATGGGGCTGGGGCTGGGACTCAGTGGTAGCACACTTGCCTGGCATGTGTGAGGCACTGGGTTCGATTCTCAGCACCACATAAAAATAAATAAAATAAAGGTCCATCAACAACTAAAAAATATTTTTTAAAAAGAAACATTTTATTTTTTTCTTTGAAGCATTTATTCAGATTCCTACCTCATTTTTTGGCAGGGACTACTGGGGATTGAACTCAGGGCCTCTGGAACACTGAGCCACATCCCCAGACCTATTTTATATCTTATTTAGAGACAGGGTCTCACTGGGTTGCTTAACGCCTCACTTTTGCTGAGGCTGGTTTTGAACTTGCAACCCTCCTGCTTCAACCTCTGGAGCTGTTGGGATTGCAGGCATGCACCACCACGCCTGGCCCTACCCCATTTTTACACTGAGATTTTGGTCTTTTCAAAGTCGATTTGCAAGATTTTTCACAAATTAGAGAAAGCAATTTCTTTTCTTATATGAATTATGAGTATTTTCCTATTAACTTTGCTTCCAGTGTTTCTGTATGGCAGAAATGACTCCTTTTTTATGTAGTCAAATTAATGAATTTTTTATGTCTTATGAATCTTAAGCCATAAATAGTAGTTTTCCTACTCTTAGGTTATAAAAGAATTCTCCCTTGACTTCTTCCAGTACTTTTCTCCTGGATGTTAACTGGTTGTACAATACTATTGTTGAATAGTTCTTTATTTAGGAAGATAATCCTATCATGTAGTAAATTCTTGAAAGCATTTGGGTCTAATCCTATTATTCTAATTATGATAAATTTATAGA